TTTGGGAAAATATTGGTTTTTGAAAACTCTCTCTTCTAGGTGTTCTAGCATTATTTTGTCTATTTGAAAAATTAATTTTATGCACAAAATCATTTTGATAGTTTTTCTTGGGTTGTCTAACATGCACATTTTCATTCCTAGGCTTTTGTCTAGGTTGTCTAGTGTCCTTAGGTTGACTAGATTTTCTATTATCCTGATTTTTACTTTTCTTATGTTGAGCCTTAGGAGGTTGTCTAGGTGTTTGCTCAACGTTTTTATCCTTAGATTCATTTTTATCAAAACCTATTTCTTCTTTAGAAAAATGCATGGTGTCAAGGAGTAAATTAAGATTTTTGTACGGAGTATTAAATTTCTTAACCGTACTCTCAAGTTTAGTGACTTGTTCCTTTAAAACTTTACAAGATTCACATTCGTTTGAGGAACTTTCCGGTTTGTCGGCGCTTCTTTTTCCATAAAATTTATTTTCTTGTTTCAACTTCTCATTATCTTTTTCCAACTTTTCAAAATCATTTTCAGGAGTTGACAGGCGTTTCTTTAACGATTTGTTGAGTTTGGAAGCGCTAACAAATTCATCATAAAGTTCGTGAAGTGCTTCTTGCATTTCTTCAAAAGTGTAAGAGTCGGAAGAAATGGTACATACCTCTTGTACATCACCGGTTTGGTCTTCGTGTGCCATGAGACAGAGGTTGGTAACTTCATCCTCATCTTGGTCGGTTGACTCGTCGCCGGAGTCTCCACCCCAAGAGATATACGCCCTTTTCCTTTTGAAGTGTCGAGCATTCCTTCCGCTTTTCGGGCATTTGTTCTTGATGTGCCCGGCTTCTCCACATCCATAGCACACAGGGCCATCCTCAACCTTTTCTTTCTCTCTTAGAAGTTTGCAGAACTTCTTCATGACAAGCTTGACTTCATCATCGTCACTTGAACCATCCATCGTTGATTCTTTGACGGCTTTTAGTGCTATCCCTTTCCTTTGGTCATTCAAAGACGGATTAAGAATAGTCGATTCATAGGTTTTTAGATTACCTCTTAGGCCATCGATGGTGACATTTGATGTGCCGATTGATTCATAGATGGCATCGACCTTGGATCGCCATTCGGATGTCAAGCTCCGTAGGATCTTTCGCACAAGATCCCTGTCGGTGTACGTCTTCTTTAATGCATGAAGATCGTTGACTATCCGGGAGAAACGGTCGAACATATCGTCAATCTTCTCGTGCTCCTTCATCCTGGACATCTCGTATTCCTCCGTTAGGAAGTCAATTTTGGCTTCCCGAACTTGGTCCGTACCTTCATATGTGACTTCCAGCTTGTCCCACATTTCTTTTGCCGTGGTGCAGCAAGAGATCTTGCGATAATCATCAAGATTGACCGCACAGTACAACATGTTGATTGCCTTGGCGTAGTTCTCCACTTTTTTGATGTCTTCGGCATCAAATTCGTCTTCGGTCTTTGGGACAAGTTTTTCATTGACCTTCTTCATTGGCGTTTCTTCGCCGTTTTTGATGACCAACCACAACTGGAAGTTGGTTGAGCGGATATAAATTCTCCTCCGCTCTTTCCAATATGTGTAGTTGGTGCCATCAAAAAGCGGTGGCCTAGATGTTGATTGACCTTCTCCCATTCCTGCATAAAGATTTCTAGAAGAAGAACCCATGATCGCTTTACTCTCAAACGGTTAAGTTTAGACGCGAGTTAGGCTCCGATACCAATTGTTAGAATAAGTGACCAACGCTAGAGGGGGGTGAATAGCGTTTGATCGTAGAAATCGCAGGAATAAAAAACTTAAAAGAGAAGTAAAGAGAAGAGTAAGAAGCACACCGAATTTTACCCTGGTTCACCATAACTTGTGGCTAATCCAGCCTCCCGAGAGACTCTCTCGAGCTACACTACTTCCGTTAAGCTTACGGGTGCTTAACAAACCGTTACAATCTGAGAACTCGAGTCCCACGAGCCTCAACAACACTTGCTTGGAGATACCGCACTCCAAGACTTCAACCCGAAGGAAAATACCTTTCCTTCGTACAACCAAGGGAAACCAGCTTCCCTTAACGTGTATACAACACTAAAACACTCAAGAACAAGGCTATCTTTTAGAGTAGATGTTGAGTAAACTATATACGCTCAAGAACAACTCAAACTTCACAAATTGGCTCTAGAAAGCTATGAAAGATGATGTTGTTTGAATGCAATGATAATATGAATATTGTGAAGTGAATTGCTAAGAAAAGCAGACCCAAACACCCCTTTTTATAGTGCCAAAATAGGCTCCAACGGACCAATGCATTAAAGGGGTGATTGGCTTGATTTAAGGGATTGAATAAATTTGGGATCTGCAGGATATTGCCTTCCCATCGATGTTTGGAACTTACCCATCGCTGGTAAGCCAATTTTCCTTCAGTTTTGAAGCCAACGGTTACCTACCCATCGATGGGTACAAGCTTCCCATCGCTGGGTGGGAGGTTGACTTCCAAACACGGAAAGAATCAACCTTAAATGACTTCCAACGGTCATGCCTTCCCACCGATGGTTTAGCCTTCCCATCGCTGGGTTCCCATCGATGGGTAAAGCTTCCCATCGCTGGGTAAGGGCATTCTGCCTTGTGATAATGTTGGACCAAGGCTTGAACAGCGATGGGTAGAGCTTCCCATCGCTGTTTGGCATGGTTCTGGAAGTTGGTTTGGCTAAGGGGCTACTTACCCATCGATGGGATGTTCTTCCCATCGCTGGGTGGGTGGTTAGCCAAAAACCTATGGTTTTTGCCTTAACCACGGCCTAGCCAACCNGACCGAAAAATCCAAAGTTCTCCAAAATAAAAACCAAGTGTTTAAAACACTTATTTGATGTATTTGGCTAAGAAATCAAGTGAGACACTTTAAAAATCACGTCATTTGAGTAAAAACCACGGCTAGCCAAGTTTACGCCGTTTTGCGTGGTTTTTGTCAAACGACTAAAAGCGAGAGATGGTTTTCAAAGTGTTTTTGTTGGAGAACCGTTTAAACATGCCAAAGAGTGAAAGAAAATCATGAAATTCTGAAAACCACTTGGTTGGTTCGGATGCCAAAAACCAAACCCGACAACCGAAAGCCGAACGCTGGTTTCTGAAAGCCGAACACTGGATGGCTTGGTTTTTGGTTTGGGCGAACACCAAGTGTTTTTAATGACTTAAACAAGTTTGAAAAACATTTTTATGATGTATGAAATGCAATGAGAGACTTTAGCCTAAAGAGCCAAGGTGTAAAGATTGGGTCGGTCTTGATCACAATAAAGACCGACTGAATACTATGATTAAGGTCTTCGTTCTTGATCTTCGTTTAGCTCTTGCTCTTATCTTCGTTCTTCGCCTTGTATATTCAATGTTCGACTTGATCACGAGGGTTTGGCATTATCAAAACCTGTTACAAAAACGAACACGACTTTAGTACGAAAACGTGACAAGCCCGTGTTTCAATACTCTAAGATATATCCATGTTGACATTGGTTTCTAATACTATCTAGAAGAACTCTAACATAGATTAGAAATAGGCCTTGCGGGTATAGCTATGAATATTCAGTGGCATGGGTAAAAACATACGTACGGGACCCAACAGTGAGCATTCCACTGTTCGGTTTCTGGTTGTACCTTAAGCAAAGGATAGTTTAAGATTTGAAAAACCTTTTTGAAAATTTGTATCTTAAACTAGGCCTAGCTTAAGGGTTGGATAGAAGTATCTTAATATGGAACTAGTTTAAGAGTTGGTAAATATTAAATTAGCCTTAGTCTAAGAATAGTTTATGAGCATTGTTAACACTATGAATGTTGAATACGAATGTTGAATGTTGAATATTGAATGATGAATATTGAGTATTGATTATTGTATATCTGAATTGGATATTATGTGCATGATATCAAATGATTTGATTATGAATTGAGATTCAGTTTATATGGATGTTTGACGCATTAGATATCCTTACTCAGCTTCAGTGCTGAGCGTGTAGTATGTTTTATTTGCTACATGCAGGTAATCGAAAGGAATGTTGAATACGAATGTTGAATGTTGAATATTGAATGTTGAATATTGAATTGTTGTTTTAAAAGACATAAAATTGATATGACCTGTAATTGTGATTTATTAAACTTCTGCAACTTAAAATACTCCGTTATTATTCTGAATAATTTATTATGAAATAAAGTTTTAAAATGTTTGCAATATTTTGAATGTTTACAAAGACACTATCTGATAAACATGTTTAAATATAAATCTAGAAATATAATATTTGTTTACATTAGCATGAGATGTGTAAACATATTATATCTGCCTATACATGATAGGATAGTGATAAAATAGTTGGCCATCAGGGCATAACTCCAATAGAAATTTCGTATTCATATAATCATATAAATGTAGTCTAGGTGTTTCCAAATTGCACATTCATAAATTCCATTTATACACCTAAACATAGTGCATTAGTATAACTCATAGCGTAAACATTTCTTATTCTCTATGGAGATAAATAAATCAAAAACATATCATGACATAAATCTATATACAAATAATCATTTTAACAAACAAGGGTATTTGCATGATTATATTAAAGATTCCTCCGTTATATATAAGGGGCACTTACCTCGAATATGATACGACAATGTCAACACTAGAAAGAACCAAATGAATCAATGAACAGTCAACGAACGAACGTCAAAGCTATCAACCTTCTAACTTCGAAATAGCTTCTTCAGTTAAGATTCGTTCCCCAAATAAGTTGCAGGGGTTTCCAAGGCTCGGAACGGACCCAACAAATAATGGATTCAATGGGACAGAACAAAAATGGAGACGGAAGTTACCAACCTCGTTTTTTCCATCACCACTAGACCATTTTCAGTAGAACGGCCGTATTTCCTCCATTACTCGTTAGATTGACAAACCTTTTGTGATAGTGTTTCATAGACTTTCAGGGCTACAACTTTCCCAAAGAAACCTTGACCAAATAACGAGCTTAAGACGGTCAAAATGGCGCTTGAAGTGAACTGACAGGATTTGCTGTACGAAAATCAGCAACTCTTTCTTCTTCTTCCTTTTCTGACGATGCCTCTTCTTCCAGCGTCTTTGTTATGCTTCCGGAAATACCAAGAAAGACAAGAGGGAGAGAGAGAGAGAGAGGGAAGTGAGATGGTTTATGGTGATACATACGAAGTGTAACACCCTAATCCGTCCTGGTCTGCAGCCCCTTTCGGACTAAATCATTTAACTTGGTAATTGTAAAAATTTAAAACTTTTCAAACACTTTTATTTATCACAATAATATTTTTCATAACACATACAATACGGAGTATTCAACAATATTGCGGAAGCGAATTTAATTTTGACATATCATAAATCATTTCAAACTTGTCACATCCATCCCGACAATCTCGCCCCATCTGCCGCCAGGATCACATTGTTCTTTCTGTTTACCTGCGTGTAGCAAATAAAACACACTACACGCTCAGCGGTAAAGCTGAGTAAGCATATCTAAAGCGTCGAACATCCACATAATTTGAATCTCAATTCATAATCAGCCATTTGATATCATGCACACAATATATGATTCAAACATTCATCATATTCTCGATATTTTATTCCAAGTCATTTCATGATAAATACATTATCCAATATCTCCACAGTGTTCTTAAATTATTCTTAATCTAAGGCCAAATCATTTCAAAACAAGCTCTTAGCTAATCCTAGTCTAAGGCAATATTTCTAACTAGGCCCTTAAACTATAAATAGTTTAATGCAGAACACAAGAATCGATAATCCACCTTATGAGTCATGTGGATTACGTACCAACTGAACAGTGATTTGTCGGGTGGGTGATATCCGTTCTGGATCCCGTACGTACGTTTTAACCCCGAATTATGAATTGGTCAAGGAGGTATATCTTAGAGTTCTTCTAGATATCCTTACTAATTATCATCAGTATACAAGTGGGTATATCTTAGAGTTCTTCTAGATATCCTTAATAATATACACCGTTTTCGTGATCATTATTATATTCATTTTTAATTATGATTTAATAATCATTCTAATTAGTAGGTTTATCATTCATAATTGGTCACAATCATAACAATCATTCAATATAACATTTAATAACAATTAGCAGCCTAGTCTCGAGTGTTAACACCCGAACTTACCGTCATGCATCACATAAGATTTTATGTGTCAAAAACATCATTTTTATTTTACAAAATCATAATTATATTGTTCATAATTAATTGGTATCAAAAATAGGATTTTTGGGTTCAAAAATAACATTTTCAGAAGCATTTTCGGAGAATTCAGGTCGGGGGATCGATCCAGCTTGGAGGATCCATCCTCTTCACGATTTTCCTCCCAGGTGATCGATCCACAGTAGGTGATCGATCCACCCAGTAGAAATTCTTCTACTGCGGTGATCGATCCATCTTATTGGATCGGTACGTCGGTTACTGTTAATCATCTTCTACCTTCGGTCCATTTTCGGGAATATCATTTTTAGCTACCAAACTTAAATTAAACTATATAGAAATGTTCTCCAAGGTTCATAGATCATTTTAGTATAATTAATTCATGATTTTAACATCAAATTCAAGGTTTATGATTCTCGGTTCTTCAAACATGTCAAACACAAAACTCAACCAAATGACCATTTATGAACGTAAAAACAACCTATATGAACGTTCTAATCTTTAGATATATCTACGGGCTTACCTCGAAGGTAAATGAAGGTTTTGGAAATTTTCCGGTGAAACTTCTGGCGATGATTTCTCTCAACTCCGGCGACTTCGGCGACCACCAACTATTTCAGAGTACTCCCCACACTCTTAAGAACACATTGGTAGTAGTTTCACAACTTTTGGTGAAGGATGAGAATTTTTAGGTCTTTATATAGTGAAGATGATGAAGAACAAGACAAAGGATGTTGTGTAGGAATTGACTCACGATCGGCTGAGTGGAGGAGGAGGCGCCGTCTACACAGTCTCCCTGATTGGGACCAATTTTGGTTCCAGTCGGGGTATACTTTTTGGTCCAACATTCTCCGAATTAAATTCCGTTTGTACCATTGCGATCGGACAGTTAAACTCTTTCCAACTATATAATTTTTATATTTATTTGTAATATTTTTTCCGACATCATATTTTTGGGTGTTTGACTTTGAGAGAGTCAAAATTGGTTTAATTGACCTTTCTCATAAAAGGTTCTCTCATTTAACTCATATCAATTTTTCTCATGATTTATTTCAACAAATCATTTCAATATTTACATTCTAAACAAATTCTTTATTTATTCTTGATTTGGGTCTGTACTTAGGTTCCCAATCAAGACCACACAAATAGTCCACATATTGGATTTATCTCTATGAGACTTATCCAGATTTTGATATTGGATGTCAAAACACATTTCATATCGGCCCAAAGCCCAACAATAATTTATTTTAATCAAAACAAATTTGATTAATTGATTAATTATTCATTAATAATTCTACGGTATGTTTTGGGGCGTTACACGAAGGAGGATGGGAAGGGGAGATGCATGATTATAAAGGGATAAGGGAGTACCAAAGGTTACATTGGAAATGAATGTGGCATGTGAACCATGTGGGGTGGAAAAAACTAGGCTACTCCGTAATTAAATAACTGTCCTAAACAGTACACGCTCCCCCTAAAAACAACTTTGAATTGAAAATCAATTGCATTTTTAGAACTACATAGCCAAAACTAAATTTATGACATCTTCAAAATATTTTTCTAAAAACTTTATTTTCTAACCTCTTGGTCCATCTCAATCATTATTAATTCATTTAATCATTAACATGAAGAAGTTCGTTATTAAAAGCATCCTTCTATACTTAAAATAGGTTATCTTTTGAAATAAACTTAAAGAGATCAAATCTCTATATTCGTTATTTAAAATAATGTGGGCTTAATAAATAATATTTATTTATTTAAAATATTGGTTTAACTATTACACCGGTTTATAGGTCGTTACATGAGGTCCTACAAATGGTACCAAAGTCAAGTCACGAGTTCGATTCGCTACGGTAGCAATTGCTGAGGGGGAGATTGTTAACCATATGTGGATCAAATATACATTACTTGAAGCTATGTGCGCTAAGTCACAATCGAATGTGGTGGGTGCTTGTGTGCTGAATTAGTCGATTGGAAAGTTTCACATATTTTTAGGGAGGTGAGGAGCTTTCTTAGATTAGACGGTTACTATGAAGAGGAACATATACAGATATTAGCCCACGAGGTTAAGAAATCGAGGAATAGAGTTGTGCCATTGGTCAAGGTGCTTTGGAGAAACTATGTAGTTGAAGAAGCTACCTAGGAGACCGAAGAGTTTATGAAAGCTCAGTATCCTTATCCTTATCCTTAGATTAGACGGTTACTATGAAGAGGAACATATACAGATATTACACCCCAAAACTCGATTTAGTATTATTAATTAATTTAAATAATTAATTAATGTCTCGGCTAGTTTAGAAGGGATTTACTTAGAACTGGACTTTGAATTGAGGAAATTATTTAATCTTGCAGTGCTCGCTCCTCTGAACTAATGACACAAACAAATCGCAAATTAGAGTTATTGGGCCCGAGACACAACTAGTGGATCAAGTAATTGGGCGTAAAACCTATCCTAATTAAATAAAGAGTTGGAATTGGACCACAATCCTTTATAAAAATTCCAATTATTTTCTTTTCCCACCAAAGTTGACTTCTTCATGTTTTAACCAATTCATCCATTGCTATTGCGATTAGTCTTCATCGCCTTCTTGTTGGAACACGGGTTTACGCCTATTTCGTACTAAACCGTGTTCGTTTTATGACAGGTTTTGATAATGCCAAACCGCCGTGACACAACAAGGCTAAAGTGAACAAAAACCAAGGTGAAGAAACATGGCATGATGACCTGAGAACCAAGAACCAAGAATCAAGAACAAAGAATTAGAATTGCATTGAGTCTGTCCTAATGTGATCAAGACCGGCACAACTTCCAAATCTTGGCTCTCTAGGCTCAATTCATCAAAACCCTTTTTGCAAATTCAAAAATGTTTTTCATAAGTTTTTAAACATGGCTAAAAACACTTGGAGTTCGCCCAAACCAAAAACCAAGTCATCCGGCGTTCGGCTTTCAAAAGCTTTTCACCTTTTTATGATATTTTTTTACTTCTGGGCATATTTAAATAGTTCTCCAACAGAAAGTTTTAGCCTTAAATTCCTTCCAACGGTCAGGTCCCTACATCGATGTTCAATACTTGAACATCGCTGTTTAGGTCTGACTTTGAAGGTGGAGTTTTTGGCCTGACAGCGTTGTTGCTGGGTCAACATCGCTGTCCAAAAACTTTCTGTTGGAGAACTATTTAAATATGCCCAGAAGTAAAAAACAATCATAAAAAGGTGAAAACCTTTTGAAAGCCGAACGCCAGATGACTTGGTTTTTGGTTTGGGCGAACTCCAAGTGTTTTTAGCCAGGTTTAAAAACTTATGAAAAACATTTTTGAATTTGCAAAAAGGGTTTTGATGAATTGAGCCTAGAGAGCCAAGATTTGGAAGTTTGTGCCGGTCTTGATCACATTAAGACCGACTTGATCCAATTCTAATTCTTTGTTCTTGATTCTTGGTTCTTGGTTCACATGCCATCATGCCGTGTTTCTTTGCCTTGGTTTTGCTCACTTTATCCTTGTTGTGTCACGGCGGTTTGGCATTATCAAAATCTGTCATAAAAAGTATTGGAACACGGGTTTACGCCTATGTCGTACTAAGCCGTGTTTGTTTTATGACAGGTTTTGATAATGCCAAACCGCTGTAACAATAACAAGGTTAAACTGAGCAAAACCAAGGCGAGGGAACATGGCATGATGAACTGAGAACCAAGAACCAAGAATCAAGAACGAAGACTTAGAATTATATTGAGTCGGTTTTAATGTGATCAAGACCGGCACAAACCTTCAAAACATGGCTCTCTAGGCTCATTTCATCAAAATATTTTTTGCATATTCAAAATTATTTTCCTAAGTCTTAAACCTTCCTGAAAACACTTGGAGTTCGCCCACACCAAAAACCAAGCCATCCCGCGTTCGGTCTTCGGAAACCGGCGTTCGGCTTTCGGTTATCGGCGTTGGTTTTTGGCGTTCAAACCAACCAAGATGTTTTCAACTTTTAATGATTGGTTTTTACTTATGGGCCTATTTAAATAGTTCTCCAACAAAAACGCTTCAAAAACCACCTTTCGTTTTTTGGTCGTTTAGTGAAAACCATGCGAAACGACGTAAACTTGGCTAGCCGTGGTTTTCAAATAAATGACGTGGTCTTCAAAATGTTTTACTTGATTTCTTAGCAAAATGAATTATACAAACATTTTCAATACTCGGTTTTTATTTTTGGAGAACTTACTTTTTTGACATCAGCTAACGGCTGACTAAACCAACCATGGGTCTGGCTAAACCAGCCCAACATCGATGTTGGTGCACCCAACAGCGCTGTCTGAATTGAGTAGCTGAAAACCATAGTTTGGCGTTAAGTCTTCCAACAGCGATGTTGCACACTAGACATCGCTGTTGAGCCCAGCTTGGATTTCCAGAAACTTCTGGAACAGCGATGTAGGAATTTAAGGCTAAAACTTTCCTTGTTTGGAAGTCAACAGCCAAAACAGCGATGTAGGAGTATTGGACATCGCTGTTGGCATGACCGTTGCTTCCCAATTTTCAAAACCAAACCTAGAACAGCGATGTCCAAGCCTAGGACAGCGCTGTCTAGAAGATTTTCAGTTGACCCAATTTTAATCAAATCCCACAAATTGTTCCAATAACCCATTAAATGTTTTGATCTGGTGGAGCCTATTTTTCCACTATAAAATGGGGTGTGAAGCTTGTGTTGTGTTCTTGAGCGTACTTAGTTTACTCATAATCTACTCTATAAGAGAGCCTCGTTCTTGAGTGTATTCGTGTTCTTAGACACTTTGAGAGAAAGTATTTCTCTCGGTAGATTCAAAGGAAGGGTTGTTTCCTTTGAAGGACTCGTTGAGGTTCGTGTAACTCGAATTCTCAAGTTGTAACGGTTTGTTAAGCACCCGCAAGCTTAACGAGATAGTAGTGTAGCTCGAGAGAGTCTCTCGGGAGGCTGGATTAGCCACAAGTTGTGGTGAACCAGGGTAAAATTCGGTGTGCCTCTTACTCTTCTCTTTTAATTTTTTAATTCCTGCAATTTCTACGATCAAACGCTATTCACCCCACCTCTAGCGTTGGTCACTTATTCTAACAATTGGTATCGGAGCCTAACTCGCGTCCAAACTTAACCGTTTGAGAGTAAAGCGATCGTGGGTTCTTCTTCTAGAAATCTCTATGCAGGAATTGGAGAAGGTCAGTCTACGTCTAGGCCACCACTCTTTGATGGCACCAACTATTCCTATTGGAAGGAACGGATGAGAATCTATATCCATTCCACCAACTTCCAATTATGGTTGGTCATCAAAAATGGAGAGCAAATCCCAATGGAGAAAGTAGGAGAAACCACAGTCCCAAAAACCGAGGACAAATTTGATGCCGAGGACATCAAAAAGGTGGAGAACTACGCCAAGGCAATCAACATGCTATATTGTGCCGTCAATCCTGATGATTATCGCAAGATCTCTTGCTGCACCACTGCAAAAGAAATGTGGGACAAGCTGGAGGTCACATATGAAGGTACGAACCAAGTTCGGGAAGCCAAAATTGACTTCCTAACGCAGGAGTACGAGATGTTCAGAATGAAGGAAGCCGAAAAGATCGATGACATGTTTGATCGGTTCTCAAATATCATCAACGACCTTTATGCACTCAAGAAGACCTACGCCAACAAGGATCTTGTGAGAAAAATCCTGCGAAGTCTCACACCCGAATGGAGATCAAAGGCAGATGCAATCTATGAATCCATCGGAGTCTCAAATGTCACCATCGACGGGTTAAGAGGTAATCTCAAAACTTATGAATCTACTATCCTAACCCCATCTTTGGATGAACAAAAGAAGAAGGGAATAGCGCTGAAAGCAACCAAGGAGACCATAAAAGAAGCTTCAAGCGATGACGACAACGAGTTCGGACTCGTCATCAAGAAATTTCACAAATTCATGAAGAAGGAATTTGAACGGAAAGGAAGAAAGCACGACGGTCCCCCAAAGTGCTATGGCTGTGGCGAGAGAGGCCACATCAAGCCAAGATGTCCAAAAGGCAAAAGCAGCAAGGACAAACCTGGCTTCAAAAAGCAACGAGCCTATATCTCATGGGGTGGCGACTCCGGCGACGAGTCAACTGATCAAGAAGAGGAGGAAGCCGCCAACCTCTGCCTCATGGCGTATGAAGATCAAACCGACGTCATTCAAGAGGTATGTACCATTTCTTCCGACTCTTATACTTTTGATGAAATGCAAGAAGCACTTCATGAGCTTTATGACGAATTTGTTAGTGCTTCTAAAACCAATAAATCACTAAAGAAACGTCTTTCAACCCTTGAAAATGGTTTTGAAAAGCTGGAAAAAGATAATGAAAGGTTGAAACAAGAAAACAAATTTTATGGTAAAATAAGCGCTGACAAACCAGAAAGTTCTTCAAGTGAATGTGAATCTTGCAAAATCTTAAAAGAAAAGGTTGCAAAACTTGAGAGTACGGTTAAGAAGTTTAATACACCACACAAAGATCTTAATTTACTTTTTGACACTATGCATTTTTCTAAGGAAGGAATAGGTTTTGATAAAAATAAATCTAAGGATAAAAACGTTGAGCAAACACCTAGACAACCTCCTAAGGCTCAACATAAGAAAGTTAAAAATCAGGATAATAGAAAATCTAGTCAACCTAGGGACACTAGACAACCTAGACAAAAACCTAGGAATGAAAATGTGTATGCTAGACAACCTAGAAAAAATTATCAAAATGATTTTGTGCATAAAAATAATTTTTCAAATAGACAAAATAATGCTAGGACACCTAGAAAAGGCCAGTTTCAAAATTTCCAAAAACCATCGTTTTCAATAGGAACAAAATGGTTAAGCCTTCGAACTATTATGAACCTAGGCATATGTACAACCCCAATGTAGTTTGCCATTATTGTAATAAGATAGGCCATATTGCTCCCGTTTGCTACACTAGGCATAGGCACCTATCACAAAATCAAGCACACTACCATCACACACCTAACACCCGAGGACCCAACGTAAATTGGGTACCTAAAACTCATTGATGTGTTTCATAGGTGTGCTTGAAGGCATCAAGTGTACTTTGGTACCTTGATAGCGGATGCTCAAAGCACATGACCGGGGATGCATCCAAGTTTCTGCAAATCAAACCCGCTAAAGGAGGAAACGTAGTTTTTGGAGATAATAGCAAGGGAAAGATCATCAGCGTCGGTTCAGTAGGTAAATCTGAAAACTCCTCTATAGATAATGTCTTGCTTGTTAAAGGTCTTAAACACAATCTCTTGAGCATAAGTCAATTATGTGACAAGGGAAACCGTGTGACATTCGATTCAAAATCATGCACGGTAGAGCGCCTTAGTGACAATAAGGTCATTCTACATGGTGATAGAATCGATAACATTTATATGGTTAACTTAGACAAATCTCCCTCTGGCTTTGCTAAGTGCCTCATGAGTAAAGAGAAAGACACTTGGTTATGGCACCGAAGTGTAGCTCATATGAACATGAACCTTTTGAACAAATTGGTTTCACAAGACTTAGTAATTGGCATTACAAAACTTAAGTTTGAAAAAGACACCATATGTGATGCGTGTTAAAAGGGGAAGCAAGTTCGGGCCTCGTTTAAGTCTAAGAACGTTGTTTCAACGTCTAGACCGCTTCAACTTTTGCACATGGATCTCTTTGGTCCTTCTAGAACGAAACGTTTTGGTGGAAACTACTTTGCGTTTGTGATTGTCGATGACTACTCTAGGTTTACATGGACCTTGTTTCTTACTCATAAAAGTGAAGCATTTCATGTTTTCAAAAATTTTCTAAAGAAAGTTCAAAATGAAAAAGAAACAACCATAGTAGCCATAAGAAGCGACCATGGGGGAGAGTTCGAACGAAATCTGTTTTCAGATTTGTGTGACGAACTTGGCATTGATCATAACTTCTCAGCACCACGTACACCACAACAAAATGGAGTGGTGGAACGTAAAAATAGATGTCTCGAAGA